GGGGGGGGCGGTCAGGGCCCCTCAGTCCCCGCTGCGCGGCCCGTTTGCCTCCCAGGCCTCGGCCCCCTCTGTCCCCATGGTGGGGGGAAATAACAGCCAGGCCTTTGCACTGGCGTGGTTGCAGCCCCTCTGTTTTCCTCCCTGGTGCATCCCGTCCCTGCCAGGCCTTGAGGCAGAAAGTGCCTTTCCCGCTATGGCAGCTCCTTCCCTGTATCCGTACGCATAGCATAACGTACCCCATGTCTATCGTATCTGCCCCAGAATAGCTGCACTCCTATTGCATGAACTTTACTCCCCCGTGGCAGGTGGGGATTCTGGTAGTGCCTTGTCGTCATCCTGTTCCCATAGGCATTATAATGTTCCCCTATATGTTTCATTCCCTGTACCCATATGTGTAGTAATCTCCAATGAATGCAACTTCCTCCATTGTTTTGCAGTGAACTCTTGTTTTGCTGAGCCCTGGTTGTTCATGTTTCACTGCAGGATTAAACTGTTGTTGTTTTTTAAAAAGCAATACTGAGCTAGCCCTGGTTGTTCATGTTTCACTGCAGGATTAAACTGTTGTTTTTTAAAAAGCAATGCCACATTTTGGAGCTGTAATATAGTTGCTGTCTGCTGCATCAGAATCTTTTTCCATGTATGCTTTTAAATGCATCTGAGTTACACGTATAGCAACAGTCAGGCCTGTTCCCTTAAATTTAAGTATCTATCAGATCGGTGTGATCACGATCTTGCTGATAAGTCAGTAAGCTTTCATGGAAGACCGTTAATCAGTCTTGTTTGTACCTGCAGTGAATTAAGAAGTTAAAGGTTTTGGGTGGAGATACTACAATCCAGGCCTATCAGAGACTAAATAATGAGCTTACAGGTTGTTTCACAGGTGATGGAACTTTTCATTACATTCAGATTTCCTTCAGTTCATGTCAGATGTAATATCAGACAAAATGATAGATTTCGTGTCAAGTTATTGATGCTGTTGCCTAGTTAATTTTATATGTATATATCTATTTGTGTGTGTGCATATATAAATTCTATGTATTTGAGAGGCCTTTAAATGTTATGGAAATAATTAGTTGATAATACTCTGGCAAGTGTATTTTGTATTAGAAAGATAGTCCTTTACAGTGATGCAAAAAATAGGGAAACTTACAAAGATGATTGGAATGTTGATATGTTTGAGCAGATACTTTTTAAGGTCAGCTGAGACAATAATTCATTTGTGTTTGATTGTGTGATAGTTAATGTTCAATTTCTTTGTGAACCTCAAAATACGTGTGTGGACTACAGAATAATTTGTTCAAATCATTGATATGTAATGCTACAAATAGGAAGTTTGCAACATCTGATAACGTTTGAACAGTATTATTAGCTTTCATTTACTTTTACACAGCCTTACTGTAGTCATGTGTATCTGCTGCTAGCCAGAAAAAATGTTATTACTTTGAATGTTCTCTGGCTTTGAAAAAAGTTATATAAAAATACGATGTATAGACGTGCACAAACTGATAGATTTGTTATGTCATTTGGACTTTTTTTCTTTTGTCTTTTAGTTTTAAATTGAAGAGAAAATGTCACTTTACGATGACTTGGGAGTTGAGACCAGCGATTCTAAAACAGAAGGCTGGTCCAAAAATTTCAAACTACTACAGTCTCAATTGCAGGTGAAGAAAGCAGCTCTGACACAAGCAAAGGTATAGTCTCATTGTATTTTTGCTTTCTGTTTTTCAAATTTCTTTTGTCTTTGGAGCACTGAGGAAAGTTTGTGACCCTAGAATATCTATTTGGGGTAATTTAGCTAGGATTTGTCTGTGAGTGTGTAGCAAGGAGCCTAGCAAAACCAAGGAGGGGGAAAGGCAAGATGCATGTTTCTTGAAGTCTGTTATAGTGAGCCTTGCAAAATTAAAACTGAATGAAGAACTGATGTGTGTGGTGCACACCTCACATCTTTTAACTAGCAGAGTCAAAAGCTGATCTTCAAATCTAACTTGAAAGATAATGAGATTAAGCTCTTTAAAAAAAAGTAAGGAAGGGTCATACTGTGACTGATAATTGGCAATAATGGCTGTTGGTCATTCTTGGCATTTTGCATCAGTCGTTATTTATGTGTTTGCATCATTTTGTGCTTGTTATTTAAAAGGCTTTTGGTGCTAAAGTGAAAATCGTTGTGTGTTAGAAGTGTTTGCAGGAAGTATTTCCAGTGTCCGTGAAAGGGCAAATGAGTACAAGCTAATTCCTTGAGTTGAAACTGTGACGGAGCCATTTTCCCTTTTATTTCTACATTATTTCACCCTTTTTCTTTAAGGTGTGCTGTTATTTAGGTTCAGACAGGACATGTGTGTTCTTTGTGGTGTATAGGTTCTAGAGTGAGATTCTTTAGAAAAGAAGTAGTAGCATAGATCCTGAATACTTAAGGAAGTGCAGCATTTTTTCACTGGAATTACTTCTGATTTATGCTGCTAAAATTGAGGACAGAATTTAGTTGATTATTGGAATAACCTGCATGAATGAAATCTAAACGCCTGCTATATTAGTTATATTCTTTGTCTCTGTAACAGATAGGTGGTGTATGCATAGACTAATAGAAGAATAGAATAGGATTAGAAAATTCAGAATTCAGAACAGATTAATACATTTTATCAGATGATAAAACATGAAGAACAGCACATCTTTAGAAGAAGTCTGAGCTCCATAAAAAAACCCCTCGTTCAAACTCATCTGAAGAGAGCATCTGAATTTTCAATGTGTGTTTCTGGTCCTTGTCCAAACCTAGGACTATTCACCTACAACTGTATGTTCTAGTGCATGCACAAGCAAAATCTGATCTTACTCTCTTAAAAAGAGGTGTGTTGCATCAGATCTGTTTTTGTGTAGCAGCTCTTTAACCATAGTTGGCAAGCATCTGTCTCAGAACTGAGCAGCCTTTGCTGCCACTAAAATATGGCATAAACTAAGTTATCCACATCAAGGTTCATTTAATTATTGTATGTTGATAAACTGAAGATAAATAATATGTTAAGCTTTGCACAGTGAAGAATTTGAGAAAGTGATTTTCATCCTTTTTTAGAAATCATCAGAGATACCAGTTGCAAGTATATAAAGAAAGCTGCTTTTTAGAAAACCGTTTTGTTACCTTTTTTAGACATTTTGTTTGGTGATTTTTCAGAGTCAAAGAACAAAACAAACAACAGTCCTTGCTCCAGTGATTGACCTGAAACGAGGTAGCTCTTCTGATGAGAGACAGATTGTGGACACACCACCTCATGTAGCAGCTGGTTTAAAGGTAAGACCAGGACAGCTAAAAGTCCAACTGTTAATAGATGTTTTGTAATTGGAATTCTTTGTCTCCAGTCAGTATTTATATTTTTTCAGCTTCTTTCCTAGTGGCCAAGGAAGTGATCATTTTCTGAAATTGATTTCCTCTGCTCAGCGGTTCTTTAATTAATGTACATTTTAACTTTATACAGACTTCCACATGATACAACATTGAATTACCCAGTTTAATGTGCAGTTGAAATACAACAACATTCCTAGCATATTTCTCCTGGACACCTTCAAAGTACTTTGCAAGATGTCTGTTTGGTCAAGTAAATAATGAACATAATTGTAATTGCACCAGTGTTGGAACTGGAGCTGTATAACAATCAACTTAAAAAAAAAAAGCCACTTAACCTTTTAAAATGGAAATATTTTTTTTTGTGGTAACTTTTTCCTTGAAGGTTTTTCAAAGGTGGTGGTTCTGAAATAGTTTTTTCAGATGAGAGATGAACAGTATGTGCACCTCTGTCGACATTATATTAATAGCAGATTATGAAAAAGGCTGATGAGATTCTGTGGGAGGATCCCTTACAGATGGTTGCAACAGAAAGATACCATAATAGTTCTAATAATGAATTAATGGGTTTGGAAAAATTCTTGTCCACGCTGATTTGCTGTTGCTTTGTATTTGCCAGTCCACGCTGATTTGCTGTTGCTTTGTATTTGTCAGGGTGGGTGAGGTGATTCTTTCTGCACAGGAAAATTTGAGATAGTGAGAGAGTGGGTGAAATGTTAGGTTTTAAGCAAAGCAAAGATTTCTTTTAGTACTGGTGGGAAATAGGATATTACCTGGCATTACAGAAAGTCAAGAATTGAGTTTTGTGTTGTTGGGAGTGAGAAGGAAGTGTTAAATTCTTGTTTTCCAACTGGATGTTGTTTCAAGATCTCAGCTGAAAAAAAAAATTCCTTTTTCTTTTTTAAGGATCCTGTACCTAGTGGTTTTTCTGCAGGAGATGTGTTGATTCCTTTGGCGGATGAATATGATCCCATGTTCCCAAATGACTATGAAAAAGTTGTAAAACGTCAGAGAGAGGAACGACAGAGGCAGCGTGAGCTGGAGAGGCAAAAGGAGATTGAAGAAAGAGAAAAGTAAGGCTTTTGTTTAAACTCATGACATGTCGACAATTAGAAAAAGAGTAGAAACGTCGATTTCTCTACTTTTTGTCCCCCCTAAGCAGTTTCAGGGAAATTCACAAAGGTGTTGTGAAGTAAATTTGTTCTAATGCTCTTGCTAAAATCGCCTAACTGTGCAAAAACTAGGATTTATCGTGTTTACAGCCACTTTGGCTTTTAATGGTCAACTGAAAGACATTCATCAAGTTTTTCTACATTTACTTTATTTCAGTAGTAGCAGCAGTGTTTGGGTATTTCATGCATCATTATCAGACTTTGATCTTGCAGGTATTTTAGAGCATTTGTTGTCAGTATAAGGTGACTACAGAAGTACCTTTCAGCGCTGAATGATAAACCATCCTTTCTCCTTTTAAATACTCCAAAATAATACATGAACACATTAAGTTTTAAAGATGAAGCTGGCACAGCCTTTGAGAGGCATAGTTGCATTTTCTTTTTTAATATTCTGTATTCAGTTAAAATAAGCTAAATGTGTATTTATTACCCCTTTGTCTCTGGACAAAAGAAAAAACTACTTATTTTTAATTACCTTAATGTACTTTCCCTGGAATAAGAAGTCTCTCTAATCATATTAAAGAAGTTGAATGCAGATTCTGTGTCCTACTGAAGTAGGTGGTAAAACATCTGCCAGCCAAGCAGTAAGATTATATTTGCTTATTTTAAGTGAAAATTATTATTAATAATGTTATTATATTATTATTAATTTCACTTATTTAAGAAGTGAAATTAATAAACCAGATTAATAATGGTATGAAGGCCAGGATTCATGGGGCTTTGAGCAATCTTGTCTAGTGGGAGGTGTCCTTGCCCACTGGAGGGGGTTGGAACTCAATGATCTTTGAGGTCCCTTCCAAATCTAAACATTCTATGAATCACCTAAAACGTATGGAATTACAAGAGGGATATTCTGTTGCTGTTCAGATTGTAGTAATTAATTAATATTTCCAGTCATCTGGGTTTCTCTGTCTTCTCTATCTTCGTTGTTCTGGTAGAGGAGGAAAGCCTGAGGCTCTGTCACACTTTAACTAGCATGCAAAATCTGAGAAATCGGAGCTGTCATTTCCACTGCTTCAGTGTTAATTGCTATTTAGCTGTGCTTGTAACTTGTATGTGGGCCAAGAGCATAGTCTTTATATATAGAACTGGAGGAAATGAAAAATACACAGTCTGTTTTGATTTAAAATTGGGGAAACGGTGTCAGCCAAACCTGTGTCAGATGTATGCTTTGTGATAACCCAGGTGTTTGAACAGTCTATGTTTGTTTTAAATTCATAGTGCAGAGATTCAGAATTTTTGTCTGATTATTTTGTCTGATTCCAGAGCAGTGCTGGTTTTAGCATCTTGTAGCGCAGTTTTGATGGCTGTGCTGGGGAATGAGATCTGATTTATGCCTCAGATATGCTGTTAACTTTTTGGGGAAAAATACTATTTCTAAAGTATTAAAATGGAGTAATTTGGTGATCGTGATAAATAACAAGTGCAGTTCAATTCTTGAACCATTTCTCAGCTAAAACTTAAAAGTTTAAAGTATTAAGTTAAAGTATTAAAATGGAGTAATTTGGTGATCATGATAAATAACAATTGAAGTGCAGTTCAATTCTTGAAGCATTTCTCAGCTAAAACTTAAAAGTTTTAAGTATTAAGCACTTAAAGTATTTTAAAGTATTAAGTAAATACTTAAAAGTATTAAGACTTGCCTGAATCTTTAGTTGCCAAGTTAGCTTCTCAATAATCTGATTATTTAAGCATGATGATTTTTTTTTTTAATTGGCTGAGTAAATGATACTACTCTATATAGCCTGTGATGGGGAATTTAAAAGAGATTCTGTTCAAAGCAGGGAGATTGATTAAAGTCTCTGTCGCCTTCCTGTCGATTCCATCCAACACCTTTTCCGTTGTAGTTATTCAGTGACTAGTCAGTCTGAACTAGATTTGTTCCAATGCTTCCTCATTTCCATACATTCCGCTTGGGTGACTTAAAAGTGGAAAATGATATTGCTTTATATTTTACAAAAAATACTCTGTAAGGATAAAACCAAAGAAACAGAAAGTAAATGTGTTTGTTTACACCTTCATGGAAACCATTATGAAACGCTAATTAGAGCGTAGCAGTATAATTCACACTGCAGAAGTATCACAAATTAAAGCAAAGAGTTAACTTTGATGATTTCTTATCCTAACTTCCTGTGTCTCCTAGAAGACGTAAAGACAGACATGAAGCCAGTGGGTTTTCAAGACGACCGGATCCAGATTCTGATGAGGATGAAGATTATGAAAGGGAGCGACGAAAAAGAAGTAAGGGAGCTGGGTTTGGCTTTGATGGGGAAAGAGAAGAAAAAGATGGTGGGGGGATTCCCAATTCTGTTCCCGTTTCATTGATTCTGTGTTTATCAGATTATTATCTGCTAATTATTATTATCAGCTATCTGTATAGCTGATAACTATGCTGTCATTTCTGAGCCTTCAGAACAAACCTAGTATTTATTATATCATAACTGTTGTAACACAGAAAGCTGTTCTTTCCATGGAGGCAGATGGCAGCTAAGTTATTTGTGGAAAGACCTCTTTTTACATTAGTTTGTAGATAACCTCATTTTAAGTTTCTGTGTGGTGTGGATTCCAGGAGAGGGGTGAGACGTGAGATAAAATCAGACTCTGAGAATCACTGAGTTTTCACTATTAAGGCTTCTACCATTCCTGCATTTGTTATTTGAATGCCCTTAGAACCTAGTTACAAGATGTGGATCTGGGTGATGAGATACATCTCTGCATAAACAAAACTAAACTCTTCTCTTTCAGCAGCAAAGTTCCACTAAATAATTCAGGTCTGGTATTTTAAAGGAGAAAATTTCTGAGGGGACACTTGAAATATTTGCACCTCCTTGAAAGTTTGGGACTGCATTAGAATATTGCTCATTGAAGTATGGAAAGGGCTCTGTACTTCACTGTTTTGAAAGCGAAGTTAATCTTGAACAGAGCTTCTTTTTCATTTGATTTGAGCAGTTTCAGAACTGAAGGTTTGTTTCACTGTGGTCTTTTAATATTGAAAGCCTATGAAATACATTACAATATGGAGCACATCATTGCAATTTGGTGATGTCTTCCTTGACGTGCTTTTCATTCATTTCTAGTTCACCTCTCTTGAAAGTTCTCAGACTGCTCTCTTGTTTTTTTTCCTGTTGATGGAGATATATGTTGAGAATTGGCTGGTCAGGAGCCAGCAGCTGCATCAATATTCAGTGAAGCTACTCCAAACAGCAAAACCTAATCATATCAATGTGTTGTCTTCTATTTTGCTCAGGTATGGGAGGAGCTGCCATTGCACCACCCACTTCTCTTGTTGAGAAGGACAAAGAACGTAAGTATACCAAAATCCTGTTCTTTAAAACCTAGCAGTGGTGTTTATTTCTCACTCAGCCTTCTCTTCAGTTAAGACATCCTGCCGTTCTCCCCATATGACTCTCTGTGGCAGAGGAACTTGTATTAGTCCTTTGTTGGTGGGGAGAAGCCACGATACCACTGTGCTTCACATCTCTGTTCTAAAGGTTCCTTTCTGTATTGCTGGAGAAGTGGTTTGGCAAACTGGTCTGTTCTAACCACGTTCAGTTACTCATTTATGATGTGAAAGGAGAAATGTTGCAGACGGGTTTCTCTGGGTAGACTAGAAACCTCCACAGCACGGAGAAGGAATTTTTCCATTACCCTTTGATTTAGGAGGCACTTGATGACTATTTTTGTGAAGGATTATGTACTACAGACAGAATGTTGTTAAGTTTTTGAGGGATACAGTATCTGCTAAAGGGATGTGTGTGGATGAAACCCTCACTAGGGTTTCCCTCAGTGAAGACAGCTTGAAGATTGCAGTTGTCCACTAGATGGCACGATCTTCCTGTAAGAACAAAATGTAGACTTTTTTTGAATATCTAATTGTCTTACATTTTAAAATTAAAATAATGAACAGCTTGTTGTTTACGTCGTTAAAAAATAATAGGAATTTTATGCACACAAACTTTCCTTTGGGGGTCCTGATTTTATTTATGAGAAGATTCAAATTAAAAAAATCTTGGCGGAGTAAGTGAATGATATAATAGTGAAAGCATTTGAAGTGTGTAAACATTCAAAACAGAAAGCGATTGTTTTGAGTAAATAATTAAGAGCAATTGAGTGGTGTCAAGGAAATGTAAATATAGGCTGGAAATGGTATAAATATCCTGAGGGGGAGAGCTTTCAAAATGTGACATGATCTCACAAGGAAACCTTTGTATGGCGTGTTGCTTGATGCTCAGAGCTAGGCTGGAAAAAGCAGAGAAAATATTGCTATAGCAGGAGTCCCATAGTCCAGTCCATCTGCTGCTAAAGTAGACATTTTTTTCCCCATACAACATCCCCAAACTTCGTGTCTGGCATTGGATTTTGTAAGATACAAGTACTGGTTCACAAGAAAATAATCTAGAATTAAGTCTAAAAGTCCGTAAGTACATTCAAAAGTGTGTTCTGCATATTTCCTTTAGTGTTCTGTAGGCTTTTTTTTTTTTTTACATTTTGCTGTTCGACTTTTCAATGGAAGGTAGTTTAATAATCTAATCAAGGTGATAGAGATATCTATATAGAGATATAGACATAAATGTAACTCCATCCCCCAGGAAAAGTTGTGGTTCAGAAATTGTCTGTGAGATCTCTTAAGATGGTATAAATACTTTGATTTGAGTCGCATTCATTCTTTTTAATAGATCAATTTCTCTTCTGTGTGAACATACTTTATTTTATAGTCCTCAGGCCCCAAGCTGTGTGCATTGATCCGTTTTTGTCATAATTCTGTTCCTGATGAATGGGGCTTTTAAGTTGTCTTGTTCTCTGTCTGGATAAACTGATTGTCGTGCAGGTGGCCTCTTAATGTTTCTTTTCTCCATTTGATAAGAGGTTAATGAATCCAGAGTTAATAACTCAACTCAAATCTTGTTTCTGAGGGAGAGAGAAATGAGGGGATGTTAAAGCATCATGTGCTGAGCAAACATACTTCTGATTTGGATTTATGTGGAAAAAAACTTTTTTTTTTTTCAGTTTGTTAGTATTAAGGCAGAAAAAAAGTACAACTTGCTGACGAAGAGCTGTTAGTAAATGAATTAGACTCAAGGCATTGTACTCTAGTGTTCATAACAAGTAGTTTGTGCAAAGTATTTTATTGAAAAAGCAAACGTCTCTGTTTTCTTCAGCTGTAGCATCATTTCCATTTGAAGAGGAGTCGAGACCTCGGGCACCCTCTTCCAAAGCAGCTATTCCTCCTCCAGTGTATGATGAGCCAGAGAGACCTCGTTCCCCCACGGGACCCAGCAACTCTTTCCTTGCTAACATGGGGTAAATGAACGACTTGTGCACATCTTGTGGAAAAAGGTGTTAGAATGAGGTGGAAACCAAAAGTTAAAATAGTTTGTCAGTGGAGAAGAAGAACACAACCCATTGCATGTATGTGGTTACTCCGAGTCCATATAGTCCTAACTGGCAGGATACAGAAAAAGCAGTGGATTTACTCAGATGAGAGAAATGCATTTGAGGTGGTTGCATTCAAGGCAGTGCTTTCAAGCAAATTCTGAAGCCACATTCCAGTGTAAAGTGTTTATGGCTTGTAGAAGCCAAGCTAATGCAGTACACAGGAAAACACAGATGGCGTGTTAGTTCCTCTAGGTTTCTTTTCCAGCTTTGTCTCAAATTTGCTACGTACCAGTGGGCAAATCGTTTTGTCTCTGCTTTGTGTTTGTTTGTTCAAAAATTCAAAGCATATTTGCATGAATATAGCAGCTGTGGCTGCAAATCTGCCCGTTTACTTTTCTGCCTTGGATTAGCATTGTGTGTAATGCTTGTCTTACTACTGTGGCAACAAAGTGAAGTCAAATTTGTAGTTAAAAAGCAGCTTTAAAGACCTAATTTGAAAGATGTAGTGGTTAGCTATGGTCCTCTGGTGTTGCAGAAATGCAGGCTTGGTGTAGTCAAAACTGAATCCAGGACGAAGACAGACATAAAAGTGTAGTTTATTACATTATTACACTGCATTTCCATTTTGGAGACAATTTTTAATGTGTTTTTTATTTTATAGAAATGCTTTTCTTTTTTTAAGCATTTTTTTTAAGCATTGGCCAGAAAAAGGATAACAAAACTCAGTACCACTGAACCAGTTTATGCATCGTTACCACCTCTGGTTAGCAATACCCTGGGGCCTTCACTTCACTGAAGGAAGTGCTAAAAATATGACCTGACCTGCCTTTTTGACCACACAATTGGTTACTGTTTATTCTCTGACTTAGTGTTTTAACTTTGAGGATTACATAGCCAGACTTTTTAGCCTTTTTTGTGTCTTTGTATGTTCCCTGTACTATGCTTAGAAAATAGTCATGTAGTCAATCTGTTTTCTGTGTAATATTATGTACCTGTTGATAAAAGAGGGGTGACTGAGCATAGAATATTTACTGTGGTTTAAACTAGTATACCATGGCATGTTTTTTGTGTTTTGACCTATCTAGCTGTGGTCTCCAAAGAAGTGTCAACATGTGTAGGTATATTTTGATTGTAAATATTCATTCAGAGGGAATTTCAAACCTGTCAGTGGAGGTGCTTTTATAAGGTACTTCTAAAAAAAAAAGGTACCTTTAAATATGTTGGGGACTTTATTGCTCAATACGCTCTCGAAAGTTGAGAAAGATAACACATGTTTAAATTAATACTGATGATATCAAGATTTGGTATAGGAAGGGCTGGGCTAGCAGAGCCATGTAGTCTGCAGCTTATGCCAACTTGGGACTGATCTAATGTGGGATGTAGATCCATCTAGGTTGGAAGGGACCTTAAAAATCGAGTCCAACAGTTAACCTAACACTGCCAAAGCTACCACTAAACCATGTCACTCAGGACCACATCTACCCATTTTTTAAATACCTTCAGGGATGGTGGTGCCACCACTTCCCTGTAAGACTTGTTCTCTGGATTCCTCACCAGCTTCTCTAGACTTGCTTTAGCACCTCAATGTCTTTCTTGTAGTGAAGGGCCCAAAACTGAACACGGTACGCAGGGTGGGACCTCACCAGTGTCCAGTACAGGGGGACAATCACTGCCCTAGTCCTGCTGGCCATACGGTTCCTGTTACAGGCCAGGATGCTATTGACCACCTTGGCCACCTTAGCACACTGCTGGCTTATATTCAGCCGGCTGTTGACCAGCACCACTAGGTCCTTTTCTTCCAGGCAGCTCTCTAGATGCTCTTCCCCAGGCCTGTAGCATTCGTGGGGTTGTTGTGACCCAAGTGCAGGACACAGCACTTGGCCTTGTTGAACGTCATACCATTGGCCTTGGCTCAGATTGTTCTACATCTGCCTTTTCTGTCAAGCTTTTGATACCAGCCACTGACAAAGATAAGAAACTGGACTAAGTAGACCTTTATCTTACCTGATTTGTGATTTACGATTAGATTTTTATCTAATGAAAGATGTCTTTCTGATGCTGACTTTCATTGCTTATGGAGGTTGGGTTGTATTTGGAAAAGTATGAACGATTTTATTTATTCAACTTCTCTGACAGCTTTTTTGTCTGTAATTCAGGGGTAACACATTTCATCTTCACAGGCTTCTGTGAAGTTGCTAGGTTGTAAAGTCATGTAGGAGCTCTTACGTTTCCAGTCTCTGTGTAATAAGATTTTAGGAGGAATTTGAGTGTGCAGGAGAAATGCAATGTTAGTGTTTTGCTAAGAAACCTTTACTAACTGATGCTTTTTCTCTTTGCAGGGGGACAGTAGCTCATAAAATCATGCAGAAGTATGGTTTCAGAGAGGGCCAGGGGCTGGGAAAGCATGAACAAGGGCTGAGCACAGCACTGTCAGTAGAGAAAACGAGCAAGAGGGGTGGCAAGATCATTGTTGGCGATTCTACAGAGAAAGGTAATTTTGTCCTACACCAATAAGTTTATGAAAGATGGTCAGGGATAAATAACAGTTGGGCTCAGTGGAAGCTCCTGGATTTTTTGTTTACCATCTGTCCTCGCAGAACATACTAATCAGAGTTGGAAAAATGACTTGTGGTCCTTCTTGTAGAACTTTGTCTTTTTTATCTTTTTTTTTTAAAGTACTTGTCTATTAATTTTCTTAGCTCATCCTCCCTTTCCTCCATCAATTGTCCACCTTCAGCATTTGGAAGCCTCTTCAAGGGGTGATCCTGCTCTGCTCCTGCTGACTTTCTCTCTGTCGCATGCTTTAGATGTTGCCCTCGTTTCCCTGCTGTTTTTCAACCCAGAATCAACATCTAGGGTTACTAGAACTGCACCTCTGCCTAAGCACAAGTATTGGCAGTCAGGAAATACATATATTTTTTTTGGTTCTTAGGGGATATGATACAATTCTGAACTTACGAATTATTTCCCTCAAAGAATTAATATGTTAGCAGTGTTTTAGCTTAATTTGCATTCTGTAGTAGTGATTTTTCTGCTTATTGTCTTTCCAAGTAGCTACGAGTTCTGAATGACTGTTTCTCACCAATATGAAACTACATTTAGTGACTTTTATTCCATTGTTTGATAACAGTAAGATTCTGATAAAAGCCCCATATAAGGTTTGAATTAGATTTAGTCTTAAATTATTCCATGATTCATTGTTCTGTCTTCCTGCAGAAACGGGCAAGAAAGCGGATTCTAACCCATTGACCGAGATACTGAAATGCCCAACTAAAGTGGTCTTACTAAGGGTAAGCTGAGAATAAAGGAACATGTTTTGGTATTTGCAGCAGTCCTGCTCTGCCCTGGTGAGGCCCCATCTGGAGCACTGTGTCCAGTTCTGGGCTCCCCAGTCCAAGAAGGACAGGGAACTGCTGGAGAGGGGACAGCAAAGGGCTACAAAGATGATGAGGGGCCTGGAGCATCTCTCTGATGAGGAGAGGCTGAGGGACTGGGGTCTTTTTAGTCTGGAGAAGACTGAGGGGGGAATCTGATCAACACCTATAAATCCTTAAAGGGTGGGTGTCAAGAGGATGGGGCCAGTCTTTTTTCATTGGTGTCCAGTGACAGGACAAGAGGTAACGGGCACAAACTTGAACATAACAAGTTCCATCTAAACAGGAGGAGGAACTTCTTTACTTTGAGGGTGGCAAAACATTGGAATAGGCTGCCCAGGGAGGTGGTGGAGTCTCCTTCTCTGGAGACATTCAAAACCTGCCTGGACATGTTCCTGTGCAACCTGCTCTGGGTGGACCTTCTTTGGCAGGGGGGTTGGACTAGATGATCTCCAGAGGTCCCTTCCAACCCCATATCATTCTGTGATTCTGAAATGTTTAAAACTGTGTTCCTGTTATAATGAGTCTGTACAGTTTGAACAGTTCTGGCTGCACCTACATGGTGCTTCGTGTTGTGGAGAAGCTGCATGTCTTCCTGAGATACAAGTTGTGACAGTAAATCAACACTTCTTTAGATTACACAGTTACCTTGTCTTAGTGATAGGAACTGTCTCCTCCTGTGGCTCTGGGCTGGTAAACAGAAGCTTAAAATATTAATGGTTACAGTTCCATGCATCTGTGATTTGCCAACATAATCATCTGCACAAATCACATCCAGTGAGTTAGGTTTATTCTTTTAACTTTCAGAACATGGTAGGTGCTGGGGAGGTGGACGAAGACCTAGAAGTTGAAACGAAGGAGGAATGTGAGAAATACGGCAAGGTTGGGAAATGTGTCATCTTTGAGGTAAGGGATATAATCTGTCTCTTTTTGGTTGCTCTGCAAGCAAACTGGGTACTTAACCCTCATGACTGGCTTGTTAGTGCCTAAGAGAAGAGGCATACGTTAGAAGATCTCACGGGGTCCTTTGCTGTGTTGTGATTCTTGGTTTTCCATATCTTTGTATCCATAAGATACAAACTTATAACGTTAGAAACTGGGTAAAAAACTCTGGGTCTCGTGCTTTTGGAGCTTTTTTATTGTGTGCTCTTCGCTACTTTTGTGAAGAACAGCAATTTAAACCGGTATTTTTGCTGCTGTTCTAATTACTTCTGGTTTTGGGGGTGGTTTTTTGTTTTGTTTCAGATTCCTGGCGCCCCTGATGATGAAGCTGTGAGAATATTTTTAGAGTTTGAACGGGTTGAATCTGCCATCAAAGGTGAGATACTAAATCGTATCCTGCAAACCCCTGACACTTCTGCAGAGAGATTAAACAGTTTCACCAATTAGACTGTTTAGCTAAAGAAATGTTTATTTTATTCTCTTTTAATTGCTGCTCGCTGACCTGTTCTTGGTTTCCATTCCAGCTGTTGTGGATCTAAACGGAAGATACTTTGGAGGCCGAGTCGTGAAGGCTTGTTTCTACAACCTGGACAAGTTCAGAGTACTGGATCTGGCAGAGCAAGTTTGATTTTAAAAATCTAGCTCGAGGTGTCACTGTTCTGGCAATCATGTTTTCAGCGGTAGGCTGGGAATAAAGAAGAGAAAAGTAGCTTTCCTAGCAAACTGGAAACAAGCCTCATTGAATGGATTTTTCGCATTCGTTGTGACTTACGTTTTTTTGTAATATAAAGCCCTTTGAAAGTAAGATTCACGTCTGTGTGTTTTTGAATTGCACAATTCTGCTTATTGCTCTGGGGATCCTGGTTTTTTTTTTTGAGCTTTCAGATGACTTCGTTCTTTTGAAAACCCACTGCTGAGGAGATGCTTTGTCTGTATTCCCGCTTTCCTTGTTCTGGCGTTTCGTCACGGAGTCCCTGGGCTGCATCCACAATAAGTGGGAAGCTTTGGAGAAGGACTGTGTGCTATGATGCTCCTCTTCCCTGGTGGTATCTCTGAGTTACAGCCTTGCTTTTGTAAGTCCCATCTGCACCTGATTTGGGGTCGTTGGACCATTGGCAGCTAGTTTGTTCTCTCCTGACTCCGGGACAATACTTTCTATGCCAGGATGGAGACTAAATTAACAAGGAATGAGTCTGTCTTTCTTCCCAAATCCAAAGAAAATACACATTTAACCCAGGGAAATGGAAGGAGGAAGAAATTTAAAATGGTTAGCCATGTGAATGGGAGTGGACTGTTAGTGGGAGCTCTGTGCTGTCAGGCAGTCTTGGCTAGAAATATCCAGGGTTAACTAATTACAGGTCGTTATCGAAATGCTATAGGTAGAACTGAGGGAAACTCATTCTTCTATCTGGCCAGCTATCAGATTCTCATTTCCTCTAACGTCACGCGTAAGTAACTAACATTTTGTTTAATTAACTCAAACCTGGCATTTGCTCACTGTCTACGCATTTCTGTATTTGAGGTCAAATAACATCAGGGTTATGCTTTTTAAATTTTTTTTTTTGAAGGAGTGCCAGTGGAATTTTGCAAAGTAGAAGGCCATGGAAGAAAATTCCCGTATAAAATATGAAAACCTGAATTAAACTACTAAATACTACAACTTAGACCTATTTTATTTTACTTTATCTGATGTAAAATAATACGTAGCGCTCTGCTCCTGGTTTTATGTTTGCTCTCCGCTGGGAACAGTATGTGACAAAGTGTTGGCAAGAGGTGGCTACGCAATGATGGCAGTTGTCTCTGTGCTCCCCTGCACCTAGAATTGCACAGATATTAAAAAGGGAGTGAGCTCTGAGGGCATTTTAGTAAAAGCTGATGCTGGATGTCTTTTTCCTGCTATATACATGTATTGGGGGGAAGGGGGTATGGACCTGTAGTTGATCAACGCTGTGAATATCTCCAGTTATTGCCCTTTTTATTAAGTTTTGGCTGCAGATCTATATGACAAACCCTTGGTCTCGTGTTTTTTGTCTGCTTGTGTTCCACCAACCTCTGTACAAACATTTGCTTGTAAAACAGAAAAACGATTTTTAAAAAAAAAACCAAAAAAAAATGACAAACCCTTGGTCTCGTGTTTTTTGTCTGCTTGTGTTCCACCAACCTCTGTACAAACGTTTGCTTGTAAAACAGAAAAACGATTTTTAAAAAAAAAAAACGAAAAAAAACCAAACCACTTGTATTTTACCTGCTGTGTGTTGGCTTCCTCCTTACTATATCTCCTTCCCTTGCACAAGGCCTTCCCACAGAGTCAGTCCCTTCTGCACCCCCTGTGCTGCTGTTGGCAAGAGTTGTATCCCCCGTGAAGAAAACCTCCCTGCAGCAGAGGTGAAGAACCGGCCTGACTGACGCTAAAACCGCAAGACTTGGGGCAATAACAGAATCCAAATTTCTGTTATTGGCTCTGCTGTTGGTTTTCTGTTTGACCTTGAGCAACGCTTAAAGGCCTTTGCTGCTACGTAGGAAAACAAAGAAATCAGTGTAATATGAAGTAGCATGGCTTTGCTTATAAGAGTCAAATAATGGTGTGCTGTAGAAAGTTAAAGCGCTGATAACTCATTTACTACAATCTGAATTTAGCTGGAAATATGACTTGGCTTTAAGCAACATGATCTATTTATGACTTTTATTTCTGTTCTGAGTGACTAGCTGTAAGCATTTCCTCAGTTATACAGACTTTTCTGTGTCTTGTAACCAGCTGTTCTGCTGTTTTCTCTCTAATACCAGCTTCTGAGCTTCCAGCTCGATGAGTTGGAGGTCTTCCATTTGCTGAGAATGACAAAGTTTTGAACCATTTAGTTCTCAAAATCCTTATTTTGCTTGAAGGCTTGCGGATTAAAGTTTATGGGTAAAGTTTTTAGATTAGACACTAGGAAGAAATTCTTCCCTGTGAGGGTGGTGAGGCGCTGGAACAGGTTGCCCAGAGAAGTTGTGGATGGATCTCTGGAGGGGGGATGGAACTTGATGATCTTTATAAGGTCCCTTTCAACATGAACCATTCTATGACTCTACCCCTGGAGGTGCAGGGGAGGTGGCTTGTGCATTTAGTGCTTTGTGTAGGAGATTTATTCTATAAATAAAGTATTTTTTTATACCATGAGGCCACTGAGACAGCATAGGCATATCTCCTAAAGTGTTAGCAGACCTGTATTGCCTTAAGCTCATCTCCCTAAACCTAATCCACTTGTTTTGGAGGGTGCTGAACAAATACTTGACGCCAGAGCCTGGTTTGTAGGTGGTTGTCCTCTAGGTGCTGCCACAGTAAATGCAAACACATACAGAGGTGTGGAAACCCAGAAAGGATAAGACACACTGACTGAGGTCCTCAGTCAGACCTTATTTATCACAGCTAATGTCATTAGTAGCGGGTATTTTTTTGGCAAATGCATGTTCTTCCCCTTAGCCCGTGTTGCTGTGTTGGCTCAGCCTTTCTCAGCTATGGCTGTATCTTGCATGCCTTGAAAAATTTGATTCTGAATATACATCTCTGCTTCCTACCTCCTCTGGAAACTCGTTACTGACCTTTTTCTATTTCCAGTAGTTGCTGAAATTATTTTTCATTCAACACCTCCAGCTCTTCCTGCTTACACATCCAGCTTTTTTCCTTCGGTGATTCATCCATCAGCGCCCTCTCAAAAGGCTCAGCAGAACTTGGGAGTTCTTTGTTGCAGCTACAAAGTTTTACTTGTTTATTTGGGTTTTGCATACTTGAAATTGTGCGCCCACGTTTTTCGGTAAGGTACGTGCTTGCAGCTGTGTTCTGAAGCGATGACATTTTTGCTTCTCTTTTTGTGTGGTGCCTTAAAATGTTATGTTTTTACAGCAAATGGAAGAGGATGGTGGCCTGTTAAGATACGAATGCTTTATTGGCAGTACAGTGTTGGTTGGTGTTCAGTGTTTTGGTATTTTTCAGGCCTGGCTTCCTAAAGTTAAGCTTTAATTGCGTGTTTTAAGTACACATGTAATTACTCTGTTTCTCTAATGTTCTGAATAACTGAATCTCCTCGCAGGCTACGTTCATTACTTCTGGGAATCTAGATTAGATGCCTACTTAAGAGAGATTTGACAGTGTCCTGAAGCTAACAGCAAGCTGAGAGGGACGTGTGGGACGTGTCAGCCCGGAGCTGAACGAGGTGTCCCTAGTGCATTATCAACCCTGAAGTCTTAAGAACGAGGATTTGCATAGTGGCATAACCATTAGCTGCCGCCTTCTCTTCCTAATTAACAATGGCTGCTGTTTTAACAGCAGGGAAGTCTCAACTTGATGCTTTCGTAGTTGTTATAACCCCAAGGTTTCGTTCCTGAGTGGAAACAGCTATTTTGGAGCCCACCATTATGCACATAGGTTATGGTTGTGGTTTGTTATGTGCAGTCTTCTGTGCTTAACCTCTGTGGAATTTCAGCTGCCAGTTTATCACTTGCCTACTGGGTGTCAGACTAAAGAAGTCTGATGAGATGGAGCTCACTGGGAACAGTTTTAACATTACTGTTGTCAAAATCGAAGCTTGCTTTGCCCATAGTGTATGAAAAATGAGGGTTGATGACTCAAAGACAGAATCACAGAATGATACGGGGTTGGAAGGGGCCTCTGGAGATCATCTTGTCCAACCCCCTGCCAAAAGCAGGTCCACCTAGAGCAGGTTGCACAGGAACTGTGTGCAGGCAGGTTTTGAATGTCTCCAGAGGAGACCTTGCTGTCTGAATAGCCATATGAAGAGGAGACAGGTACAAGAAGTGTCTTGCCCAAGATCATGCAGGAGGTTGGCTGGACCATTGGGATTACACTCTATGGTCCTATACTTGCAAGAGTGTGACCAAAACCCACGTTCTTTGTGGAGTTGCTTTTTAGTGTAAGACCAGAAAATGGCAAGTGCTCTTAGCCTTGAACTTTGGACCCTGAAGTGAATTCAGCTGAGGAAGAGGAGATGTAACTTGCGTGCTGCAGTCTGTGTAAGCAAGTGCCTTTTGAGGTGCTTATCTGAAATCACGTTCTTGTGTTGGGGTGTTTTACCCTCCTGGCAGGAGAAAATGTGCATTGTAACCCCGCATAGTTTTCCTAAAGATAGAAGGAAAAATATGGAAGGCTTCAAAGAGGTTCTTAACCCTCTTAAATCTTCCTTGCTCCGCAAGCAAAAGTCTAATGAGGAACTACTTTCTGTCCTTCCAGCACTTAGTGCAAGAGGCCCTGAGCAAGACTCAGATTCATCTCATGTTATGTCAAATTGAGTCAAAATTAAGTTAAATTAAGTTAAATGGAGTTTTTCCTTTCCTGGTGGGGGGCTTTGTACTTCTCGTTGAGCTTCACGATGTTCCTGCCAGCCCATTTCTCCAGCCTGTTGAGGTCCCTCTGGGTGGCAGCATGACCCTCTGAGGTATCAGCTACTCCTCCCAGGTTGGTGTCACCTGGAAACTTCCTGAGGGTACACTCAGGATCCCATTGTCCAGATCATTCATGACGATGTTAAACAGGACTGGACCCAGTATAGAACCCTGGAGTTCAACACTAGTTACTGGCCTTCAACTAGACTTTGTGTCACTGATCACCACTTTCTGGGACCGGCCATTAAGCCAGTTTTCAGTCTACTTTGGTGTCTGCTCATCCAGCCCATACTTCAACAGCTTCCTTATGAAGAGGAGCTTATGGGAGACAATGTTTGGAAAGCCTTATAGAAGTCTGGGTGAGCAATATGTGCTGCTCCTGTTGTCTACCAGGCCAGTCACTTCATTGTAGAAGGTCATCAAGTTGGTCA